CCTCTGAGACCAAGCCGCTCTCTGAGATCAGTCTCAGAGACTCACGGCAGTCCAGACCGTCCACGGCCCTCAGCACCGCTGCAATAGAACAGAGTCAGCAGATCAGAACTCAACAGAGACCAGACAGAGCACAGAGACAGAGCACAGAGACAGAGACCAGACAGAGACAGAGACCAGACAGAGACAGAGGACAGACAGAGACAGGGCACATAAACCAGAGCACAGAGACCAGACAGAGACAGAGCACATGGACAGAGACCAGACAGAGACAGAGCACAGAGACAGATACCAGACAGAGACAGAGCACAGGGACAGAGACCAGACAGAGATAAAGCACAGCGACAGAGCAGAGACAGAGACCAGACAGAGCACAGCGACAGAGACCAGACAGAGCACAGCGACAGAGACCAGACAGAGACAGAGCACAGCGACAGAGTCCAGACAGAGACAGAGCACAGCGACAGAGACCAGACAGATACAGACACAGCGACAGAGACCAGACAGAGACAGAGCACAGCGACAGAGTCCAGACAGAGACAGAGCACAGCGACAGAGACCAGACAGATACAGACACAGCGACAGAGCACAGAGACCGATCACAGAGACCGAGCACAGCAACAGAGACCAGACAGAGCACAGAGAAGAACAGAGACAGAGCGACACGCGTCATAATCTGAAAATTCCAACGCTCTCCATTGAGTTTGTATTGCGGGAAGCTGTGTCCTTGTCATTTCTGACTTACAACAAAAAACAGAACAATGTCTAAAAGCTGCTGTGTGACAACGTGTACAGTAAACAAACTAAAAAACCCAGAACTACATTTTTATAAGCTGTCGACCCAAAAAATGAGCGTTTATAAGGACACAAAAGTAGGGATGCTCCGATCTGCCTTTTTCGCCTCCGATACCGATTCCGATACCTAGGGTTCGGTATTGGCCGATACCGATTCCAATCCGATACCAGTGAAGTTTTTTTCCCTCATTTAAATAAATGTAGAATTTATATATCTGTGTGTGTGGAATTGATAATCATTCTTTCACAATCTACTAGATACAGACTGCTTCATTATAAAGAAAAATAAAAGAAACAATAAATCTAAAAAAATATAGGCCTATGTATATTTATAATCTATGACAAAAATGTATCAAACTAGGTTAGTGGATAATTCGGCAGCAAAAGTTATTCTAGAAAAATCAGTGCACAATAATTTTAGAAATCCAAACATTTAGTGAAAAAACAATATTTTGTGGGGAACAAATAAAAGTGTTGCACTAAATATGGTAAAATGTTACACATTGCTATTTGTATTATAAAATCCATTCATTAAAAACATTCATGAATGTATTTATATATAAGTATATACTATCAAATTAAAATACATTTATTTTAAATCTACAGCATATTTTTAAATAAGGCAACAACATATGATAGATACGATAGGACAAAACAAATACAGTGCAGCACGAACTGTTTTTATACAGTCTATGAGCACGAAGCGCGTACAATGTGCGCTGGCTCGCGCTAGCCGGAGCGCGAAAGCGGATTTAAATTCGGCGGTTGGTGACGTGACGCACTGAAAGATCTAATCACACCGGTGTGATCGTACGCGTTAAAGGGTTAAGCTATGGTATGGCTTCAGAAGTAACACAGAATAATTCGCACAATCGAGAAAAAAAAATCGGCCCTCTCTGACCGATACCCGATCCGAGAAAAATGGCACTATCGGAGCCGATACCCGATATGAATATCGGATCTGCGCATCCCTACACAAAAGTGGAGCGCAATGTGTCATATTACTCTGAGAACTACTGGATGGAAACGTAATCGGTGACAGGAAACATTCATTATTTTTAACCACGTCAAAGGATTATTTCGAGATATATTGAGAAACTAAATTGTATTGGTCTATGTCAGTGTCCCTTTTCCTTACCTTCCTTTTGTTTGAGAAATGATCCAACTGAATGAAATACCCCGACTTCTACAACTATTTGTGTTATTAAACGCTCGTTTTTTGGGTCGACAGCTTTTAAAAACGTAGTTCTGGGTTTTTTTAGCTTGTCACATAGCAGCTTTTAAACATTGTTCTGTTTTTTGTTATAAGTCAGAAATGACACGGAGGCAGCTTCCCGCAATACAAAGTCAATGGAGAGAGTTGGATATTTATCTGCAATCACAGACTATGGGAATAGTGAACAAGAGAGTAATTTTCCTTCTGGTAAAACCATGCTGCAACAACAACAACAATAATAATAATAATAAACAGCCTATGGAATTTGTAAGTAAAAAAAAGCATCTTAAACGCGTGTAGACTAGGGATGCAGCGATTAACCGGTTTCGCGATTAACCGCGCTTTAAAACGTCACGGTTAATTAATCGTAAAGGTTCCGCTAAACCGAGTGTTTCTGTTACACGGAACGGAACTGTAGCAGCTTGCACAAAACGAAAAAAGTTACACTACCGGTGCACCAGCTTAAAATGACGTGTTTATCAGAGGCACGGAGGCTACTACATGCATTAGATGAACTGACAGAGGGACCAAACAGCGAAGCTTTATTTCCACCAGAGAAATGCTTGTCCATAGTGTGGGACACCAAGAATGACCAGGGTGTCATTTAAATATTGCTGTAAAAACTGCTGCTAAAGAGCGAATGCATAAGGGATACAGCTAGCTGTACATTGAAGGTTTTAATGCACGACGTGAAGGCAAGAACCACCCGACGCGAAGCTACAGCTCGTTAGCTCTGCATTCTGCCCGCTTCAGATCAGAAAGAGATTAAATAGTGCTGTAAGATCACATTTATTTGAATTAATTCATTATAACATTTAGCTACTTGAATTAATTATTCGAGAGAGAGAGAGAGAGAGAGAGGTGACAGTTGCCTGTGTGAATTAGCCTACCTGCGTCTGTGCGCCTCTCCAGTAGGCTATTTAATCTATTTTATTAATAAAAGTCACGGGGCAGCATTCTCAAGAAGTTTGTGTCCTCCTGAATTAGACTTGTGCCGGTATTCGGTAATGGGATATATCACGGTAATGAATATGCACGATATTGTTATCGTGGGCACTTCTAAATACCGTGAAATTAACTTTGTTATTTACTATCCCTGTTGTAGTATTATTCATAAGTAAAAACCAACAATATTTTTTTTCACCATGTTTCCAAATTCTCTACCCCAGGTCCAAAAGAAATGTAAAGAAGGTACAAACTGAAAACATTAAATACTTTTGCGATCTATTTCCATTTGTTATTTTCAAAAGAGAAATACTGTCATGGATGTTTACAGAGCAGAGGTCACCTTTTTTTAATTCCAATGGGAGAGATGGGCTTTTGTTTGTCTTTTGTTTATTATTTTGTGCTTTATTGTTGGTTACTGTGTTATTTCTGTTTCAAAAGCCAGCAATAATTAACACTTTAATATCTAAAGAGCGTTCATGTGATTTTATACTTTCGTAATGTTGGGAAATGAGTAAATGCATAATAATCGTCATAATCGTAAAACCGTGATTATTCCTCAGACAATAATCGTACCAACAGAATCTATAATCGTTGCATCCCTAGTGTAGACAAACGCAAACAGCTTCTACGAAAGTGCCTTCTACGCCCCAATGTGTAGCACAAGAGTCGCATGATGTCCGCTAAAGCGCATGTGTGTGTGCCTGACCGCTCAGCATCTGTGAGAGAGTGTCTCTGTCCAGATTCCTCAGATGCTTCGCCAGCTGCTGCACTTCTGCAGGAGCTCTTCCTCCGAACACACTCACAGCGTCCGCCATCTTCCCTGAGCTGCTTCTTCATCAGCAGCTGACCGCAGCGGCGCTCTTCTTCTGCGCTGTTCTCCCGCGGCGGAATCAGTCACAGTGGCGTGCGCCACCTGCTGGAGGGAGGCTACATCACGTCAGCCCTGCTGGCTCTATATACTGCTTTTAAATATCATTATTTGGGCATTATGTAGTAGTACCACTGATCTCTATTATAGATTCAGTGAAATCTGCTCAATACCCATTGACCTCATTTCTAGTCTGAGTTCAGTTATTTTATTTTAATACTATATGCTCTATAAAGTCTCTAGAAGCAATCATTCTGTTTGCGCTTTACTTCAAATCAAAACGATATATCTCAAGATCTCAAGACTAGATCTCTACATGAGCTGCACGCTTAAATTCTATTATTAATCTGTGTTATCTGTATTAATAAGTGTGGGAAACACAAGCAAACGTGCAGTTAGGGTTACAACAAACAACACAGACATAATAGCTTTTTAGGTCTTTTTTTTTGTTGATGACTTCTAGCGAAATTATGTTTGATCAACAAATTACACTCTTTGAGTCGAAGGAACATTTGTATAGTATAAACACGTTTTTAATTTAATTTAATCATGTTTCAGTTCAAATTAACCATTACTAAATGTAACTCGTTTAGCGTGTAAATATATATATATAAAGACACATATATTACTTGTCATACATGTGTGAATACAAATAGAATTGTCAAGGAAAGAGTAGAAAAGGAAATAAATAACTGATATAAATAAACGTGCGTCACAGGGACGGGAGAAACGAATATTTTCGAAGCTTCGAATCGATTGAACCGATTGCTTCGCAGAATGATTCAGTGACTCGAAGCTTCGAATATCCACACGCTGGTGACCCATGCTGGTCAAACTGTGTAAATGCAACAAAAACAGCTTTTACAAACTCAATGCAAATACTTTCTTGAAAGTATAGTATAATACATTAAAACTATTAAAATAATGAAGTGACTGTATAATATGTGATTTAAAAAAAAAATTATTATTAATTTGCAGGGCTTGTTTTGTTTGTTTTATGGACAGCTTGTATAAACAGGTCAGTAAGAGACTATTAACTAGTACTCATCCTTTTAATCACCCAAATGTCTCGTTAAAAAGGCGACTCGGTGAACTCGAACGGTTCGAAACAGTGGAGTCATGGTTACAGCGCGCGGTAGATGGCGATCTGCGCACAGGACGCGACGCGCCACTAAACCACAGAAGAAGAAGAAGCGCATCAGCTGGCGGCCGTGACGTCAGCAGCGGAAGAGGATTGAGAGCCGATGTTTGCGCTGCTCATAATAACCCCCTGAAACAGATCCAACAACAGGTAAGTGTGAGAAATATACACTAGTATGACCCTTCATCGGTGTTTGTCGCGCTCAGAGAGCCGTTAGCAGGCGGGGCAGAGTGTGAGGTTACGGATGAGGCTAAGCGCTGCTATCATTAGATCCGAGTTGCTGAAATAATGAACAAACACAAGACATATTGGTAACGTTACTCATTATATTCTGAGTAATTGAGCGAAATACGTTACTGATTCGTCAACAGAGAATCTAGTGCTGAGCTTCAGGCCTGACAGATGATTAGAGTCTGTGTGAGTGAGAGTCAGGCCTGCTGCAGTGTGTTTACATGCGGCCCGCTAACTCATCATCACCCTCGCCTCTCGTTAGCAGTGCTAGTGTAGAAGACATGTGTAATATACCTATACATCATATGTGTGCGTGTATATATATATGTATGTGTGTGTGTGTGTGTATATATATATATATATATATATATATATACTGTATGTATGTTGTATGTATGTAGGACCCTGGAGCACAAAACAAGTCACAAGGGTCAGTTTTTTGAAATTGTGATTTATACACATTATACTGAATAAATAAGCTCTCCATTGATGTATGGTTTGTTAGGATAGGACAATATTTGGCTGAGATACAACTATTTGAAAATGTGGAATCTGAGGGTGCAAAAAAATCTAAATATTGAGAAAATCATCTTTAAAGTTGTCCAAATGAAGTTCTTAGCAATGCATATTACTAATCAAAAATTAAGTTTTGATATATTTACGGTAGGAAATTTACAAAATATCTTCATGGAACATGATCTTTACTTAATATCCTAATGATTTTTGGCATAAAAGAAAAATGGATAATTGACCCATACAATGCATTGTTGGCTATTGCTACAAATATACCCCAGCGACTTAAGACTGTTGGGCTGCTGGTTAATACATAATGCTATAACGTCCAGCTCAGTGGCTTGTCATCTTTGGCTATATCGTCAGTAATCATCGTTGGGCTGCTTGTCAATCATTTTGTCCCGGATACAACATCCACATCAAATATTGCACCTTTAAATGAATTAATTAGCAGCCCAATGGGATATGTTTTTAGTTTTCCAGCTGTTGCAAGTACTATTACTATCTTTAACAATGTGTAATGGATACGCTCCAGATGCAAACAGGGATAAATAATGGTTGCTGTTATTTAATAGTCTTTTTGTTTAATGGCAAAAATCATAGAAGTTTAAAATTAACAAAGGTCGAACGACGAGTCTGATCTGATGATCATTTTTTTTAAATGACAGGCCGATTTCAGTATTGGAGAGAATGAAACTCTATTTACTAGCCACTTTAGATACTTTGTGTTTGAATCACGTGTGCCATTTTCAGCACCGTTAAAGAAAGCAAACAGAGAGAAACGGGTTTGTATGCACTGGAGACGAGGCTCCTCAGCGCATGCGATCTCGCTCTGTGTCCTGCGGCGGTCTTCTGATGCGCTGTCTGTTGTGATGCAGCTTGCAGATGTCTGAGGACGTCTATGAGAAGTTCCTGGCTCCAGAAGAGCCGTGTCCGCTGCTGTCTCAGAGAGGGAACCTCAGTGAAGATGCTACGCTGGACGTCAGTGACTTCGGCTGCCAGCTGTCCTCGTGTCACCGCACAGACCCGCTCCACCGCTTCCACAGCAGCAGGTCAGAGTTCGCCATGTTCTGGCACAGTCAGTCACAATCAGCAGATGTTCAAGAACTTTTACATTCTCTATTGAAAGACCGTCAGAATGATGTATGATTTGTTGGAATCGGATGAAAATGACTGAGCTACACCTGTCTGAAGTACATTTAGAGAAAAACTGATTTAAGGTTCCAAAGCAAAATCACTGATGCAAAAAAATAAACATGTTAGAAAGAAACAAGTGTGTTACCTACTTTTTTCATTTTACCTCCAATCATAAGCATTCAAGTAAGAAAAACAAATAGTAAAATGTAAAAATCACTTTAGTGTGTTCATTAAAAATAAATTGATTATTAAAACTACAAAAGCAGTTCAATCAAGCAACGAGAGATTCCCTCTTTTCTTTTATTGCTTGATTAACATTAATGAGACAGACGTCTGTATTAAGACATAGTGTGATGCACGGATCTAATATAATGTTACACATCTGATGTTTTTCCCCAAATGTTCACTTAAGATATAACAGATTATGTTTACGTGAATCCTTAAATATGTTTAGCCTGCTGTAAGTCTGTGTATGTGTGTATCAGGATAGAGTGCTTTATGTGTGCGCTTCGGATGACAGTCAGTTCGGGGAAGCAAGTGGAGAAAAGGTACTCCTCCCCAAAAAAAAACATACTAATAAAGATACTTTTAGATGTTTAATTTCTATTTGGAGCTCTGGGATGACTAGACGAGGGCTTTCTGAAAATCTCAGATTCGACCCAAATCGACATTTCTCTTTTTTTTGCCCGTAGCTCAAAATGACCCCGTGCGCATTCACACTCGTTCTGCCAGCAGCGTGCAGTGAGCCGAGTACCTGGAGCCGGCAGGTCAGGCGAGGGCTGTTCTGTTGGTCAGTGATCTGTGTGTGTGTGTGTGTGCAGGTGGCACCTGACCTCCTGCGGCACCAGCGTGGCCAGCTCAGACTGCAGCGAGGAGCTCTTGTCCTCCGTGTCTGTGTGTGATCAGGACGACTGCTACTCGCTGCTGGACGAGCAGGAGCTGGCCTCCTTTGAGCTGTTCCCCGAGGGCAGCGTGTGCAGCGATGCGTCCTCCTCCATCAGCACTTACTGGGACTGGTCCGACAGCGAGTTCGAGTGGCAGGTGAGTGTGATGGACTGCAGATTAGGACTGATGATAGTCATGATTAAACTCCCCACGGTTAGTATTACCGTTTCATATTTTAATTCACTAAAACCGTATTCAAACTGAGGATAAATAAATACAGTCCAGCATAAAGCAGGGCTTTACAGGTGCACACAGCAGCAGAGTAGTTTGGATTTGTGTGAAAACGGTGGAAAAGCTGGGAGGTTTAAAAGAGTGCTGAGGGAATTATACAAATTAATATATGAATGAATTAATTATATGAATGCACCTCTGAAGATTCTGACTGTCTTCAGAAAAGATTCAGTGGCATTTTGTTTTCATCTTCACTTCATGTAACACCTAATAAACTAGTGTTCTTTACGGTAAACCGCTGTAATTCTGCTGCTCCACCAGCGCCCCCTGCTGTCAGAGACTGGAGCTACAGAGGCTCACATTCAGTCTGTGTGCAGCTTCTGTCGGGACATAAAACAGACCGGATTTACAAGCTCTGCTGTCATTTATGACCGGTTGATGAAAAACAAGCTTATGTGGATTCTACACATTTAAACAATTCAGATAAGCTATCCAGAATTATTTATGGGGCAGATAAAATACATAATTTATTAATCAGTTATCATTTTGTTTTAACATTTTTCTTTATTTAAAGGCACAATATGTAATATACAATATCCAAAAACGACTTGGACGGTGTGATATATTTCATGCAGTTGTGTACTTGCGTTATCCCAAAAGTTCCCAAGGATTTGTAAGTTTTAAATAATGGCTCGTCCCTGGGCATTGTCGCCTATCAATGACGTAATATCCGCATATCCTCAGTTTCCGCTTGTAGAAGCTGTATGTCAACACACGGACTCAAAAGCTGCTGTACACTTAAACTAAATCCATTACGGCTGTCGCGAATAAAATGAAAATGAAATGAAAAGTGTTGACCGTAGCATTAAATTTAGATCTGCTCAATGTTGCGCCATGTGTTTTTACAGTGTTGTGCTTTATAACCAATCACACACGAGTCTGTTGAGCTTATGAAGGCAATGGCCAATCAGAGGCCTTCAGATGAGTTTTTGTTCAGTGCACACGCTCGCGAATTCTCTCATCATAAACAACACCGTGCAGATGTGCGTATGATGTTAGCGATTCATTCATCAAACCGTGTATAGACAGCTTTACTGATTATAACGGGAGTTTTTGAAGAGTGCTTAAACTAGACTGAAGTCAGTCATAATGTTCTTTGACAATGTAAATGTTTTTTGTTCGCTTTCTCTGTATAATTTAATAACTGTTTGAATAACTGTGGAAGGTACAGGTAATAAAACAATTAATTAATTAATACCTCATCCGTGCACATCCTCCTTCATAGCGTCATCATGCTTCGCCTTTGTTATTGTTTAGAGAATGCGACCTCTAGTAGCGAAAACTTACATATTGTGCCTTTAAAGGCTGAAATGTGATGTTTACAATTTTATGAAACCTTTTCAAAGCTTTATTTGAACATTTTGTACATGCTATTAGATACACTGTTGTCAGTCATTTAAAATCCGGACATCATTGGTAATGTAATTGTTTTGGTGTTTATGCAAACAGAAAGTCATTTACTTGTTGTTTGTTGATTTTAAATATAAAACCTGGTGAAACAATGTATGTGTCTGCAATAAATTATAGATATAATAAATAAAAAACTAAATACGGTTGCATCTCTATTGCAGTTACCGGGCAGTGATATAGCCAGCGGCAGCGATGTGCTCTCCGACATCATTCCCAGCGTGCCCAGCTCACCCTGCCTCGCGGCCAAACGGAAAAACAAACCGCACCGAAACCTGGACGAGCTGCCCTGGAGCGCCATGACCAACGACGAGCAGGTCTCAAACCCTCACTCCTGGCAGCGTACGCAGTGACACTAGCACAGCTTGATGTGATACTGAAATATATGATGACACATGTTTAATTGGACACAGTTAGGGAAGAAAGGAAGCCGTGTCACTGCGTTTGCTTGTGTTATTCTGTTTCTTTGCAGTCAAGTGTCTTTTAGTGTCTGTGTGAGCTCACTTTGGTGATTTTCGTTTGTCAGGTGGAGTATATTGAGTATTTGAGTCGAAAAGTGAGCACAGAGATGGGACTTCGGGAGCAGCTGGACATCATAAAAATAATCGACCCGAGCGCACAGATTCTGCCGACGGACAGCGAGTTCATCATCGAGCTGAACTGCCTCACCGATGAAAAGCTCAAGCAGGTGATTAATTACACTCAACACCTCCTGCAAACAAACCACTCCTCCATCCACAGCACTGCCAGGTCTGATCATCAGCACTCTGTTTGCAATATGTTACACAACTTTCTATAATCTAAACACGTTCTAAATGGGTCATCGGATTCTAAATTCACTTTTACATGTTGTTTGGACTGAAACGTGTGTTGGCAGTGTGTGTACACATCCACCCTATAATGATAAAAATCCACACAGTGCTGTTTTCTTTTTTTAAATCCTCCAAAATAACCCCTTTCTCATATCAAGCCGTTCTCAGATTCTTGATGTGTGTCACAACGAATGCGGCTAAAGTTTACAGTCTCGGAGAACTGCGTCACCCCACGGTAGAGAGGGGCGGGGTCAGCAGAGCTCATTAGCATTTAAAGAGACACCGAAACGGCTCGCTGTGAACAGAGCTGATTTTGGCAGGGTAAAAACGGTGTTGTTTTACACTACCATTGAGAAATTTTACCCAAAGTATGTTATAGACTTTTCATTAAGACCCTAAAGAGTCATATCAGCTTGTGTAAAATGGGCATCTGATGACCACAAGGCATAACACTCTGGTTAACAGAAAAGAACTGGGTTCACACACTACTAGTCTTTCAGATCGCTCTGAACACAAAACAAACTCCCAAAGAAACATGGAATATCAAACACGTGGAATCAGGGTCTGTGTGCATCGTGTGGTTTTCTGTGATACTAGTGTTGACTCGTCCAGACTGGGGATCTGTGTGAAGGCGGTGTGTTGTTGTCCAGAGATCAGATTGGTGTGGTGTCTCCTGCAGGTGCGGAGCTACATCCGCGAGCACGGTCCGCGGCAGCAGCGCAGCGTGAAGAGGAGCCTGGCGAGCAGCGTGAGCGCTCACAGCAGCAGTGACGCCAGCATCACCAGCAGCAGCATCAGCAGCAGCAGCGCCTCCACCGCCTCCAGCATCAGCCGCGCTCACAGCGACGGGAACCTGGCCTCCGCCGCAGAGAGGATACGAGACTCCAAGGTGCTCCTCAGAGACACAGCGCAGTGATCCGCCTCGATCAAACACAGTGCAGCCGCTGACCTTCAGCATGCTGCTTTTTATTCAGTACTGATAGTTACACGTGTGTTCAGATATTTATATTTAAGATATTTGCATATAATCCACAAGAAAAAAACAAGAACTGGATTTACACAACTCCATTTACACTCCATTGCTTTGCATCCTGGTGTGTAGCTTCATTAATTGTCAGTGAGTGAGTGCTTCACAGGGGACTGCGTTACTGATTCAGATCAAGGCCATACTCTATATTCCTCAAGATTTAATTCTCCACCACAATGAGAAGAAGTCATCCGTAAGATTATGAAACGCAGTCAAGAGAAGCCTCCTGAGATGAGTGAGATCGACAGCACAGGGATACGCAGTGACAGTGAGTGAGTCTGTCTGATACAAGACTGATTGTTGTGCGTGGTGTTTTCCAGAAGCGCTCCAAGCAGAGGAAGCTGCAGCAGAAGGCTTTACGCAAGCGTCAGCTGAAGGAGCAAAGACAGGCTCGTAAGGAGAGACTGAGCGGTCTGTTCCTGAATGAGGAGGTGCTGTCTCTCAGAGTCCCGGAGGAGGAGGACCACTGCGATGACCTGGACGTGCTGATGTGACCCCAGTGACACTTCAGTGTTCCTTCTATGCCTCCTCCTCCTCCTCCTCATCATCACACACACACACACACACACACACACACAGCAGTTTAGCTTGCAGCGCTGCAGTCTCAGAGCACTCACCGGTGAGCCCAGGAACCAAGTATTAACATACATCAGACTAGTGCACGACAGAAACACTAATAGATGTCTGCTGCACCTCCTCCAGGTGTTTGGACATCATACACATGGGGAACTAATGCCAGAGACGTTTCACTATAGCAAAAAACATACAGGCAAACCAAAAACTGTTCAGACACCTTCAACATGTCTCACATTATATCAACGTTTATTCGCTATAGTTGAGAAAATGGTAATAAAATATGAGAAGAGCTCCGAGTTAAACCGTGTCAGAACAAACTCATCTTGATAATGTCAGATAACTTTGATAGAAAGCTATGTAACAAAACATGCTCAGGTCAAATGGTCAAAACTAATTTTTGGACTTAAAATTGATCAATTTTTACTGGTAGCCCTCTGTATGAAGAATGTTTGGGTATAATATGTCACAGTTTACTTTATTTTGCTATCCTCACTCATAAATGAACTATAGTGTAAAATCAAACATTATATCTGCTGTCTGAATAAGTTTTGGTTTAACTATGTGTGTTATTAAACACTCCTCACTAGAAAAAATAAATGATTAAGTACATAAACCTAATTGTATGTGATAGCAAGTTTAAAACACACTTGGTACTAACGATTCTGTAGAAAGACAAAAAGACGTTCTGCTCTTACCCAGAAGACACCTTTCTATAGCAGCGCCGATAAATTTGTGCTGGACGTCTGCATTAAAGCATCACATCTCAAACAACATTCTTCAATAGCAGTGAAAGGACAGAGAAGAGCGTTTTGTATTTCATCACTGATCATTTCTTCATAATATGCACATGAGTTATTGTGTAATCATTGTTAGCTGAACTCAGGCTTAGAGGGAACACTGACAGCTGAAGTCGTCGCCTCCGCTGTGTCTCTGCTTTGATTAGAAATGGCATGAAATTATGCTTTGGAACTTTTTGACATTCAAATTTCATATGAAAATCTAATAGTACACAATACCTTTAAACATGTTCATCGACTAGAAAATATCACTTGTGCTCTCCTAGGCAAATCAGAGAAAGTAACATTTCATAACTTTTATTGTGATTATATTTATATAATCTGTGTTATAGAGTGGAAGTGAGGAGAATAGGTTTTAGTGTAAAATTACACGCATTCATTGTCTTACATGTTTTGTTTCGGTCAGAATTTGTTTGCTTGCAACACTTTTTTTTTTGTTAAACTTGCATACGTGTTATTTAAGCTTTCTTTATAAATGTAAGCTTTGCTGTATTGCAGATGTACTATTTGAACAATGATTTTCCCAAAAAAGTTTAGTTGCAAAATGTCTAAATAACACACTTCTATTGGTTACACCATTTGTAAGACAGCTACATAGATATTTTGAGTCAGACATAAATGTAAGTTAGTATGACTTAACTGCTTTCCTGAAATGTCTGAATATTCTTCATTTTAACTAAATAAAATCAAAGTATGACGTGGATGAGTTGTGAAATATATTGAACATCAAACTGCTTTTGTGTCAGTTAATTATATACTGTCTTGACATGAAATATGTTTAAGCATTTAAATCCATGATTACTTCAGTTTCTATTGCTGGTTCATGTAAAGCTAATGCTTTCTTTCGATAGCTACAGTTAGTGTAGTCTTGACACATTCACGTGAGAAATTGTGCATTTTAATGTTTCTAAACATTTATTTAGAATCTTATTAAATGAGCATTTTTTTCTTTAAAGTCAACATGAAATTAAGAATTTATGTGCATTTCTGGTCTTACTGTGCACAGTTCATCAGTACACCTTATTCTAAATAAATGAATTGTCTTTGATGAAAGTTTATAGAATATTTTTTTTTATAAAACTTGTTCTTAATTTTTGGCTGAGATCACTAGACTGCGTGCTATTGGTTAATGTTAACAGACTCAATCAAGCATTTGGGGATTTGTTTCTACTGTTGCATGTAATTTGGCCTTTTTGAATTATTTGCCAATGCACAGTAATTAAATTCTGAACAATGTTATTGTAATAAAGGGTATGCCAATAATAAGAGGAAACGATAGATTTGAAAAATGAGCGTCAAGATTAGGATTAGGGGCATGTCCCTGAATGTGGAGAAATTGGTATAAAGAGGATATGTCTGCAGCAGTGCCTGGGTCTGGATTAACAAATATTTAAGATTATTAAGACCTTTCTATTCCCCACACTAACCCACGAGCTAGTCCTAGGGAATGCACATCGGAGCACCCTGGGAAGAATGGACATAATGATCCAGTCAGAAGTCTGGAAATGGACGAGGCTGGTCAAGAAATGCTCAAGTTTCCGTCATGCCCAGATCCAGGACTGCCTGGGCATCTCTAACCCATCCAGCAGAAGCTGAGGTTCAGATAGCTCCTGGCAAAGTAGATCAGCCCAGGACAATTTATCTAGAAGGGCTTACCATGCACAAGTCAGCTCAGCCAATAGCGTATATATATCCCCCCTATGATAGCGCCGCAGATGGCAGCCATGGTTTGTCAGTACTTGTACTCTTTTTGTTTGTTTGTCCTGTTTTAAGCAATTTTTCCCGATCAGCTTTACTAGGAACGAACTCCTGGACATCAGAAATAGCACGCCAAATAACTTTCTGCTGACATTTGAGCATTCAGATGTTTTACTGGACATTTTAGTCGGAGGAGCTGCGTTCCTATACAAGCGCTCCAGGCGACGCAAGCGAGGGAAACGCGCCGGCGCACTCGTGAAACTCGGTCAGCGCTGTTTTAGGACTCCGCTGCCGAGCATTCATCTGGCGAATATCCGTTCCTTAGCAAATAAATCAGACGAACTACGACTCATCACCCGCACAAACAAGGACTTTTTAAACTCCGCTGCGCTCTGCTTCACGGAAACCTGGCTTCACGGAGCCATCCCGGACAGTGCGTTACATCTAACGGGCTTCCAGCTGTTCAGAGCGGACCGCGTCACCGAGTCGTCGGGGAAAACGAGAGGCGGTGGATTATGTTTTTATATCAATGAAGGCTGGTGTACAGACGTGACAGTTTTAAAGAAGATGTGCTGCCCAAATTTGGAAGCTCTCTTCATTAACTGTAAGCCTTTTTATTCACCGTGGGAGTTTTCTTCGTTTATTCTGGTGAGTGCCTACATACCTCCTGACGCGCGTGTGAATGCCGCGCTAGAACTGTTGGCCGATCAAATTACACACGCAGAGCAGCGTTTTCCGGACTCTCTCATTATCGTTCTCTGTGATTTTAATAAAGCTAATCTCACCGTGAACTGCCTAAATATAGACAGCACATCACATGCCCCACCAGAGACAGCAATATACTGGACCACTGCTACACTGTTTTAAAGGATGCATACCACTCACATCTGTGGTCATGAAGTCATTTGAGAGACTGTTGTTGGCCTACTTGAAGGACATTACTGGACCCTTGCTGGACCCCCTGCAGTTTGCTTACCGAGCAAACAGGTCTGATGACTGCACCTCTACTGACCCCTCTGTCAAGCTCCTGAAGTTTGCAGACGACACCACACTCATCGGCCTCATCCAGGACGGAGACGAGTCTGCTTACAGTCAGGAGGTTAAAGAGCTGGCTGTCTGGTGCAGTCACAACAACCTGGAGCTCAACACGCTCAAAACTGTGGAGATGACCGTGGACTTCAGGAGGAACCCCCCTGCTCTCCCCTCACTCACCATCATGGACTATGGGAAGCCAAACAACCCAAAAGTGGGACGAAACAGCACGGTATTAAAGTGTTCGCACCGCGCTGACCTGTCATAGGCGCGGCTCAATAGACCGAGCGGCGCGACCGACTCGACAGCGCAGAGAGGACGTGTTTACTAGCGCCACCGAACTGACAGCGCGGCGCGGATCAGGAAGCCCAAACAACCCAAAGGTGGGAGGAGACAGCGCGGTGTTACAGAGCTCGCGCCGCGCTAAAATGTCATTTGCGCGGCCGACTCGACAGCGCAGAGAGGACGTGTTTACTAGCGCCACCCAATGGGCAGCGTGGCGCTGACCAATTTAAACAGATACAAGTTCATTTGGCGCCACTCATTTAAATTTTACCCATAAATCTCTGCTATTATTAATGTAAATCATTGAGGTCAAATGGCTAGGCGCATCGTAGAAACGATATTAACTACCCCTGACATTTTGAATAGAATCGAGGAGGCTCTTGGGGACAGAGACATTCATTCACAAAATGAGAGTCGAAGACTTTTTAACCGTTTGCCACAAACCAGACCGAACTCCAGCATTCCAGTTCGCATGTAACTTTAGTGGTGAGGCCTCACGTGGAACTGTAAACATGAGAAGAAGGTAAAATAGTGAATAACAATGTACTCTTATATGCTATTCATCTTGCAAAGTATTGCATTAAGTCACAGACATTCTTATAATTGAGTATTTAACTGCCTGAAGTAAGATATGTTATTTCAGAATTAGATAATGAAAATGCAAGTGCACAATTAAATTCTCATTTCCTTTAGGTGCCAAAGAAACACAGGTGGTCCTTTCATTAGAGAAGTGTGTCTTTTGACCTCCCCGGAAACCACAGTTGTCCCTAAAGGAATGGCAAGAGTCCAACTCCTAAATAATGGTTGGATTATTAGTGGAGTACAATTCCAAAAACGTTGGAATGCTCAACAGGTGTTGCAGCATATTCATTTTATTTATGAATCGAAACTTCAACTCAACACTGAGTAAGTAACTAAAACTCTGATATTAGTTGTTTAAATGGTTTTATACTGCATTTTAATTTAAAAAAATAAATAAAAATTTTAAATAACAAATCCCTTACGAAAATGAACCATGGTTTTATTATAGTAAAAGTGTAGTAACCATGTTTTTGGCGGATTGATTACCATTTGTATAACCACAATTTTACTACAAATACCATGGTTAAACTATGGTTAGTGTAGCAAAGCCATGGTTATTTTGTGGTTTCCATTGTTTAACTGGAATAACCATGTGTTTTGGTTGTTTTGTAGTAAAACCATGGTTAATTTTTGTAATCAATAATTTAAAAATGAAAGGGATAATCACCCAAAAATGAAAATGTTCTCATCAACCACTTACTCACCTGTATGAGTTTTTTTTTTCTTTTTTTTCTGTTGAACACACAGACACGCACACAAAAGCTATTTTAAAGAATGTTGGTAATAAAACGGTTGACAGTAGCCTTCGACTTCCATAGTAGAAAAAAACAATACTATGGAAATCGATGGCTACCGTCAAATATCTGGTTACCAACATTCTTTAAAATATCTTCTTTTGTGTTCAACAGAAGAAAGAAACTCATACAGGTTAGTAAGTGATGACAATATTTTCATTTTTGGGTGAACTATCTCTTTAAAGGTATAGTTCCCCTCAAAATAGATATTTTGTCATTTATTTAATTGCCTGTTCTTCCAAAGCACACAGTAAAACTTAATGGTGACATTCTGCTTAATCTCTCCTTTTGTCTTCAACAAATGATGGAAGGTTGTGCAGGTTTGGAACATCACAGGGGTGATTAAATGGTGAAATAATTTTAATTTTTAAGTGACCTATTTTCAGCACGAATCTCAGAATTTCTCAGTATCTGGCCCTTTTGACAACATTAGCTTGGCCTCAAGTGTGTCCCAAACCTATTAATGTGTTATCCCAGCTTGATTTGAGAATGTTGTATAAAGCATCTTGTGTTTTTATTGAAAACAAGGAGTAATGTTTTGTACAACGGAGATTCAGTGTCACAAATTTGCAATGATTTCATTAGACGTCATGCAGAATCTTAAATATTTCCTCATTTAATGTCACACGTTTTCTTTTTGAATTATTTGACTTTCAATGTGGTCTCAGGCTTTTTGACCCCACTGTACACCAGTGAGTGGGTGAGGATTACAAATTTAAACACACTTATTCAGTATTTATTATGCAAGTAATTTACCTTCTTTTTTAATTGTAAGATTGGAGATATTGAGAGCTTTAAACACACAGCTGGTCAAACCTACACTGGAACCTGGAGTTGAACAGACTGGAGCCGTACTCTGCATGCTTTTTAAAGACAGAGTCATCTATGTACGCCCTTCTGTTGACCTGTCTCAGCCTGATCAGGTAGGGTGATTTATTCTAAGAGGACAGATTGTTAAGCACTGAAAGTTTGACATTTTGTTTGATATATTTTGCTGTATTAAAATCATATTTGTTTGTATATCTATGAATTACATTACAGAAATTATATTTGACAATGAAAAATGGGCTTTTTAAAAGGAATCTGAAAATATTTAATATAACATCAGGCTGTTTAATTATAAATTGCAATCTAACCAGTTTTAGATTTTAATATTGCTAATAGCCATGCATTACTCTTTAAACTTATGTGTAGAGCATAGCGCTAGCCATGCTAAAATCATAGGTGTGATTCCCATGGAATGCATGAACATGGTCAAACCTTGATTGCATTGTAAGTTGCTTTGGACAAATCTGACAAATTAATAATAATGTAAATGTTCTCTTTAGAATTTATCACAGGTTCAAACTTCAACTGAAGCACCATTATTAGCCCAGACAACTGCTGTCTGTCCAACACATGCCCAGCCACCATCATCAGTGCAGAGACCAGAAACACCTTTGTTCCAGACAGTGGGTGTAGTCACATCCCAACTCCAAGAAACAACATCTCCTGTACTGTT